CCAAAGGGGTCTCGACTCACAGGTTGAGAACCGCAGCTTAAGCCAATGCTTTATTTTGTAGTCAGAGCACAGGAAGCAAAACAAGGGCAAGATGTTTACAATGTTCTTGCGAGTTTCAAGTCTATTTCGTTACTCAAGCCTTGTTTTGGCAGCACTTGCTGCACCTCCCACAGCCCATTAGCTACCTAGGAACAAGGGAGGACTATAAGGTCAAGCTTAATTGCGCTAGGAGGGCTCTGCCCTCCAAGCTGGGACTTGTATGTGGCTCTGCCACAGGTCAGTCCGAGGCTTGACCCTATAGCCGCTCCCTACAATTCTTTGTATGAGGAAAAGGTGCCAATATTTGTCCTCAGTTTCACAGCTATGATGCTCATTACTTAAAGAACTGCAGCCACTTGTGGTCCTTGCAGGGCCTGCTCAGTCCCTGCTCATCCCTGGGGAGCTGAAGGCATCATTAGAGTCCTCAGAACCTCAGGGACCAGGATGATGTCATGCTCAGTGTGATCTGAGTCCCCTTCCCCCAGGAACAGTTTTCACTGTGCCTGTTACCTGTAAGCCTCTCCCCAGGCAGCGATCATTCTCACAAGGCCGGTGAGCTGAGCTGCAGGTGGAGATAAAGGCCAGAGATGGCTTGTGTTGCTTTCTGAACCTCAAGCATGAGGCTGACCGTGGCTTCCATTTTTTCCATTTCTAGATCAGCTCTGTTAGGGAAATGGTGAAGCAACACCAGACCTCTGAGATGGGTCCTATTTCCTTTTGGCCCATTGGAATGCACCCTCTATTCCTGTATAGCCTTCCTCAGAGTCCATGAAGGCAGACCTTAAATTATAATAGGTTGAGTTCTAACAGCTCATCTGGGGGATAGGTGTTCAAAACTTGAAACCCAACCAGTGAAGTAATAACAGTGCTTCTATTTCCTTGGAATGAGTCCATTTGCTAGCCTCTATCCCCAAAAGTTCTCTTCTTTGTTTCCTTCCTCTTGGGGTGTTTCTGGTACACTCTGGGCTCACAGTCTGCTGAGCTAATCCCCAACACCAGCACATATATAGGGTGTCCCAGAATTCACGCAAGAAGTAATTTTGATAGAAAACACAGGTTTATAATTAAAAATTGTAAATTTTTTATTGATTCATAAAGTATACAGTATAGGGTTATGTATGGAATAGCACATTGGGTAAATGGCCTCCACGGCTTTGCTGGCATATATGCAAAGTCGTGGTCTTCATTGGTCTTCATTGTCCCTGCTCCTGGGCCATAATTGGTACTTGGTAATGCTTATCAAATTGAAGGGATTGAAATCAAAGGGCAACAGATATTAGAATCTGATTCAATAAACCAAGTAAAATTAGGCTTTTATTTTTTGTTGTTGTTGTTGTTAATGCTCACGCAAAATTCAAATCTTGCGAGAATTTTGGGACACCCTATATTTCCTTTGAAATGCACACCCAGCCCAAGGAAAGAAAGGAACAGACAGAGGCAGTGCACTCTCTTCCTTTTCTTCCCTTGGACTCTTTTAAGAGTCACAGCGATGCCCCAGAAAGGGGCCTTAGATATGACCCAGCTCAACTCTCACCTTACAGGCTGGGAGCCTACATCCTCACTTCCTTTCTTCATCCCAGAGAACACATAGGACCGCCCAGCATGAAGTTTTGTGTCCAAATTCTTGTGCAGATTGGGATTTGCAAGGCCAATTCATTCCCTGTCATTTATTTGTTCATGGCTTTTTCATGCCTACCTTAATTCCACAATTTTTGAGGCTCAGCCTGGTGCTAAGATTCTTGCAAAAGATAACAAGCTAAGTCCATGCTCTCAAGAAACTCAAAGTCCAAGGGAGAGAGAGGTCATTAAAATACATTGGGAGCATTGAGTGTCAACAATCTGTCTGAGGCCAGAGAGGAGGAGTGGGATGGGAAGGTAGGGGGTGTCCCATAGGAGGAAGGAAGGACGAACAGGAGAAGGCTGGGGCTGGAAGGTGAGTGGGGCCACACCTGCACTGTCAGGATTGTGAACTCCTCAAAGGCTTCTGAATTCACGAGTTTTGTTTCCATAATAGCAACATACATAGAGTATTTCGTTCTGGGTCCAGCACAGCATAGAACCAGAAAAGCTGGATTCGTCATTGAGCTCCTGTAGGTAGCAATGTGACCTTGGCCAAGTCAGTTAACCTCCCTGAGACTCCGTTTCTTCATGTGCAAAATGGCAATAGTCATTCCCAACATACAGGTTTATTGTGAACATTAAGCGAGATCATCTATGTCAAGAGCCCAGCAGAGTACCTGGTCCTTGTAGGAATCAGTATGTAACAGCTGATGTTGGTACTGTATTGGTTCAGGCTGTGACTCCAAGAAAATAGGGCCCACCATTTCCACACCCTAAAGTGAGGGGTGGGACCCAATGCAGGTATGTAAAGGGACTGACAGCCTGTTTTGCAAACCTCAGCTTGTAACTGAATCTGAGGTTCAGCTGCCTGTCACCACAAAAGCCAAACTCCTGCGATAGGTACTGGTGAAAAAGAAAAGAGGTTTATTCAAGTGTCGGCCACCTAAAAAGATGGGGGACTCTTGTTACAAAGCCCATCTGAACATCTCAGAGCAGACAGAGGATTTTATAAGGAGGGAGAGGGAAAGCAGAGCAGAGAGATCAAGGGAGGGGTTGAAAAGTTCTCTACATGCAGACCAGCACAGTCCATTCTGATAAGGATCTCAAAACTGGTCAAGTGATAGTCTGGTGTGCATCATCCTGGTTTTTATCATCTGATTTTATGTTTTCCTGGTTATGCAGTTGAAGATCAGCAAATCTCCTGGAACTGTGATGACTGCAGGTCAGAGCCTGCATCTTCTGAAGTTAATTCCTAGGAATCTTATACAAACACTAGAGGCCCAGTGCATGAAATTTGTGCATGGGTAGGGTCCTTAGGCCTGGCCAGTGATCAGGGCCGATCGGGGCCTTCCTTCCCCGACTGTCGGCTGTCGGTTGCTGGCCAGGGCCTTCCTTCCTTCCACACCACCCCCTGGTGGTCAGCGCATATCATAGCGAGCGGTGGAACGCCTGGTTGGTCGAACTCCCAAGGGAACAATTTGCATATTAGCCTTTTATTATATAGGATGCTGTTTATCTACAAGCTACATATTAGCCAGAGTCAGCATTTACAGAAACAATGTCAAATGAATGATGGGGTGGGTTACAACCCCCCACTGTTACAAGCTGACCTCCCTCTCTCCCAGCCTATAAGAGAAGTTGAACACCATGAGCAGGGCTGGGATTAATGGGAGTATTTCTCTGAGGAGCATTATTAGGGTACTGTGGGTCCCACCTTCCCCCCCAATTCCCCAGCTCCCCACATGCACTTCTACGACCACAGGGGAATCAAGAGCATGCCTTTCACTTACCCCAGCACTAAGGAAAGGAATTTCACCGGGACAACCTGGAATACCTCCTACGTGACCTCTGGAAGAATCATACTGGCCGGGTTACCTGCTCTGTGCTTGAAGAATCATACTGGCCGGGTTACCTGCTCTGATGACAGAATAGAGAGAGGCTGCTGCCTCGGGGACAGCCTGAGCCACAAACTTTGTTGGGACAAAGGGGGTGTGTGAATCTCCTGAGGACCGGATGGCCTTGTGATGACCTGTCTCAACTTCTGTCCCAAGGAGCCATCTGGAAGGGAGAGGGGCCCCAACAAAAATAAGCTGGCATGTGCCCTCCACTCCTGCCCAGAGATGGCTAGAGCCAGAGCAATCCGTTAAGAAGGCACCCCCCCCACCCACTGCCAGGGAGCTGCAAGTAAGAGGAGCCAGAAATGGGGCATGCCTGGCTCTCTAAGGAACCCTCCAAAGTGCTGCGAGGCAAAGTCAGCCCTGAACACCTGAGTTCCTGAGGACCGAGGCAGCCTCAGAAGACCCTACTTTCCCCACTCTCCTCCCCACCCCCTCATCCCCATTCTGGCAGCAGGGGAAGAACGCAAGGCAGAAGGGTGGGGAAGGAGCTGGCCCCGGCCCCAAACACCCCTGGTGGGAGGCAGGGAGAAAACAGTCAGTTCTAACAAAGTTGGACATGTTGATGGGATGTACTAATTCCTGATGAGGCTGCTTTGGGAATTAAGAGTGTAAGCAGGCAATCATGGGCTTTGCCAGGATTTTCATCCAGGAACAATTTGTTGTCTCTCTCAGGTCTTGCTTGTTTAACTTCCTGATGATTTTACTATTATATAGTTCACTGAATACGCCACTCAGTAAGCTCAGAGCCTTACACAGCTGATCTCGGCGTGACAGGCTCTTCCCACCCCTGCCCTCCTAGGGAAACCCTGTTCCCTCATCTGAATCAAGCTAAACCTTGTCTTTCCAGAGTATCTTGAACTTCTCTCTACCCTCTTTCCTTATGGAGAGAGGTGCTTTTTTTTATTCCAGGAGGGCAATGCCCCAGCTTTGGGGGAAGATGCTGTTCTTTTATAATTTTTTTCTGCCATTCTCACGCAGTAGTTGTTTTTTTTGATTAACTTTATTGAGATATAATTTACCAACAATAAACTCATGTTAAGTTCAATGAGTTTTGACAAATATATAGGCCCATGCCACCACTGCCACAACCAAGGTAGGGAACATTTCTGTCACCCCAGAGGTCCCTGTGGCCCTCACCACACCCAGCCCAGGCAGCCCCTGACATGCTTCCCATCACTGCGGATGTGATCTGTCTTCCCCAGAGCTTCGTATAAATGGAATCATGCAGGACAACCCAGGCTTACTCAGGAAAAATCTCTCTAGATAAGAAGAAACCAGTTTTTTATTTTCCTAGAAAATAAGAAAATCCATTTAACCTTGGCCACTCTATCATTGGTTAGCGCGTCCTTCTGAAATGCTACGGTTTCAGGTTAGATCTCTGGTCAGCGCACATACAAAAATCAACCAGTGACTGCATAAATAAGTGGAACAACTCTCTCTCTCTCTCTCTCTTTCTCTCTCTCTCTCTCTCTCTCTCTCTCTCATCAATAAATTTAAAAAAAATTTTTTTAAGAAAAACCATTTAAAGTGTGAGTTGTTTCCTTCTAACAAGCAAACCACTAAAACCACTATTCATTCTCTCTGGAAAATGAACATACTGTAAATAATTTTCTTGACTTTTTATTTCAGTTAGTTCAAAATCTCTGCCTCCTCCCTCCTCACCCCTCCTTCAGTTTATGTTTCCATTTTCCTCTGATGTCTTGTTTATTTTGCTAGAATTTGAAAGTGTTATTGATGTTATGCTTATGGGTATTTCTAGTTTCCTTTAACCTTGGGATACAAATTGATTTTTCACGGGCTAATTCATCTTCAAGATTCCTTGGCTTGAATTTGGCCCATTCATTGATCTAAAATGGTTGCGAAGCCATGGAGCAGAACGAGGCAGATCCTAACCTACGTGGTGAGTGAAAGTCACCGTGGCTTTCGTCATTGTGGCAGGATTGTATGTGTTTCTTCCTATTCTGCCCTTCTTTTAAGGCTACCTTCACAGTCCTCCCGTCTCTACTGTCCCTTTAAACCTAAATTCTGCAGGTGAGAGCAAATCAGCTTTTTCCACTGTTCTCTCTGTGCTCCTGAGCGGGTCAAGGAGGGAACGTGCAGGATGACCCAGAGGTGATCCCAGCTCCCTGGCTCCAGCACCGTCCACACACAAAGCAGCACGCAGCACACAGAACTCAGTGGCTGGCCAGCCGTGACCTTAGCTGAGGGGGCAACCAGCCCTTCCGACATCCCGTGTTTACAGCATCCTTTGTGAGTTCCCCTTCTAGGGGTTTCAGCCCCTGGGAATTTTGCACTGGGGAAGGGACAGCTGTAGTGCTAGAGGCCAGAACATGCATAAGGCAAATCCTCTTCCTGCTCCCAGCTTTTCTCTTTTTTCCTAACCTGATTCAATTGTTCTGCTGTTGCCAATTGCCTTTTGTTCAAAGGCAAGGAGCACAATGTTGCTGTTTTATTATTAGTCACTAACCCGATGGCGTACCGTGTGGGATGTCTGCTCAGCGCTTCCCAATGCCCACTCTGAGAACAGTATCCCCTACTCCATGCGGATTTGCACTGTGCAACCCCCACCCCCACCCCCCTGCCAAAATCCTCACCATCAGACACGCACGCCTGACTGAAATTGGGCCAGGTGGGTTCTCTTGCTTGGACATTTGAAATTGGGATTGAAGGAGAGTTGGTTTGTCTCTTTTTCACCCTAAGAAGGGTGGGATGGCCAGTGCTCAGAGAGTAGAGTCTCTGTCAGGGAGATGGGCAGATATGGCCTTGTGGACAGATGCGGATGTGGACATGAGTGACCACATGGTGTCAGCAGCGGGAGACACATCCATGTACAGGGAGAAGGAGAGAGGAAGAGAGGAAGACTGGCAGGGTGAGGAGTGAGTGGGGGTGGGGTGGGGAGGGGGAGGCTCCCAGAGTCTGTTGGTTTCCAGTTCCAGGTTCAACCCAGCTGTCCTTTTGTGTTGGTTTCTATGTGATCTCCCTGTAAACTTGAATGAACTTCCTGGTTTTGCTTAAGGTAATTTGGAATCGTTTCCTGTTCGTTTACAGGAAAAAGACTCTGAATAAGATGCAACCTGGGACCAGGAAATGAAGCTGCACCTAATCACATAACTGGCTCATTTCACGGCTTGGGAACACGGATCCCACCTCTCCCGCAGGGGGAGGAATGTTTGTGGAACACGGACTGAAGCCACTGGTGAAATTAGTGTCTGTTGTTTTGGGAACTTGGACAATTTTGTCCTGAATCTGAGGCTTTAGGGGGCTTGAAAGGCCACCTCGAGGATGTCCGGCTGTGCCAGCCCCTCCCTGGGACTTCAGTAAGGTGCACGGGAGACATGAAGCAGTCCGACGCTGCCTGACTTAAAGTCGGTAACGGAAAACAGGTCAGTTATGCAACCCTGCCCCTGGCGTTCATTATGCTGATAGTATAGGAGCTGAGAACACTGCGAGTTCATTCTCAAAATTCACCGTGGGGCTTCCTGAGCTGCCGCACCTACCACTGTGCAGCCACCGACACAGCACTAATGTGGCCACCAATAACGAAGCAGCCAGGCCCTGGCCATTGAAACCAGGTCCGTTGAGACACCCTAGGGCAGTGGTTCTCAACCTTCCTAATGCCGCGACCCTTTAATACAGTTCCTCACGTTGTGGTGACCCCCAATTTCATTGTTACAAATTGAACATAACTAAAGCATAGTGATTAATCACAAAAACAATATGTAATTACATATGTGTTTTCCGATGGTCTTAGGCGACCCCTGTGAAAGGGTCGTTCGACCCCCAGAGGGGTCGCGACCCACAGGTTGAGAACCGCTGCACTAGGGGCTTTGGGGAACCCTGATCCTTCAACACTTTTGCCAAGTCCGTCTGCTGCGTCCTCTTGCTGGACAGAGGTGGCGGTGCCTCCCCTGCACAGCACACTTGAGGACCAGGCTGAGGATGCCCCACTGGGCTAATGAGGCCTCTACATCCTAAAGTGAAACCCATTAAGCAACATATATAGCAGGCGTCCTAAGAAACGGAAGTCCCTTAGACACAGCCTGCCTCTGGCTGGCCAGCTTACCAAACTGTCTAGAAACGGCTTCCAGCAAATCGAATCTCCCTAAATTAAGTCGAAGGACTGCTAATGAAGGTTTTACAGGCTTTATGCTGCCAGGAAAACTTCAAGCCTCGAGAACAGCGTTTTTAAAGTGACACAGATCCACATTAGGAGCTTCTCAGTCCCTCAGGCGAGCGCAGGCCCAAGCTCAGAGGCTGCTAACTCCACAGCCAGTTCATCTCCAATCTCCTCCCAGGGGTGGCCCAGGAGGACCCCACACAAGGACCATGTCCCCAGGAGCAGATCCTGGAGTGGCTGCACTGGCTAACCAAGGGCTCCCCCAGAGGCCGGCAGGAGTCACCGTGCATCATCCTCCATAGAATAGACCACCTGGAGACTGACTTGGAGGAGGAAGGGACATGGCCTGGGGTCAGGGCTCTCCTCATGTTCTTTGTCAGGTGTTTGTGTTGGCAGACACGTCTGTGCTTCCTCCATAGACTAGACCACCTGGAGACTGACTTGGAGGGGAAAGGGACATGGCCTGGGTCAGGGCCTCCATGGGGGATGGCGAAGATGTTTGTGTTGGCAGACACGTCTGTGCTGTGTGACCCCACTGTCATGGGATAAGGAGTAGGGCTGGTTGATTTTATTTTCCTGAAAATTTTGAATTGAATCAAAGAGAGAACAAATGGATTTCTCTGTGTGGCTAAACTACAAAGGATTTCAGCATTGCTGCCAGGTAAGCAAGGAGTTTTTAATGGTTGTGAGGCAGCCATGTGCCTGGAGGACCAGAGATGGTGCCTACAGCAGGGATGGTGCCTACAGCAGGGATGGTGCCCACAGCAGGGATGGTGCCTACAACAGGGATGGTGTCCTCAGCAGGGATGGTGTCTACAGCAGGGATGGTGCCTACAGCAGGGATGGTGTCCTCAGCAGAGATGGTGTCTACAAGCAGGGATGGTGCCTACAGCAGGGATGGTGCCTACAGCAGGGATGGTGCCTACAGCAGGGATGGAGCCTACATCAGGGATGGTGTCCACAGCAGGGATGGTGCCTACAGCAGGGATGGTGTCTACAGCAGGGATGGTGCCTACAGCAGGGATGGTGCCTACAGCAGGGATGGAGCCTACATCAGGGATGGTGTCCACAGCAGGGATGGTGCCTACAGCAGGGATGGAGCCTAC